CTGACACACTTCACCATGTGTGTGTGTTCCATCCTCTGACACACTTCACCATATGTGTGTGTTCCATCCTCTGACACACTTCACCATGTGTGTGTGTTCCATCCTCTGACACACTTCACCATGTGTGTGTGTTCCATCCTCTGACACACTTCACCATGTGTGTGTGTTCCATCCTCTGACACACTTCACCATGTGTGTGTGTTCCATCCTCTGACACACTTCACCATGTGTGTGTGTTCCATCCTCTGACACACTTCACCATGTGTGTGTGTTCCATCCTCTGACACACTTCACCATGTGTGTGTGTTCCATCCTCTGACACACTTCACCATGTGTGTGTGTTCCATCCTCTGACACACTTCACCATGTGTGTGTGTTCCATCCTCTGACACACTTCACCACGTGTACAGGAGGGCACTGCTTTACAGCACTTCTCTTAGTGTTTCACTAATGCAGTGGTTTTTAGTTATACCCATTCTTCATTTATTCACCACTCACTATAAGCTAAGGATAAAAATATTTTAAGGTAAGTAATGTGTGTACAGTAGGACTCCTGTATCTGTGGGGGATATGTCCCAAGGACCTGCCCTGGATAGTAGTGAACCCCCCATATACATGTATATGTAAGTCCTATACATAACTTACAAAGTTTAATATATTATGCACAATAAGTGGAGAATTATCACTCTTTGACTGATGGGAAGCACTTCACAGCTTCTCTTAGGCTTTGAAGAACTAGCATCACTACTTTTGCAATCTGAGGCCATTATTAAGCAAAATTAAGGGTTACTTTTGGGTAATGGTAAACTGTGGATAACTGAAACTGTGGATACAGGACCCATGGATACCAGGGTTCTACTGTACTGTATATATAGCTTTTAGGCCTAGCTCTATTGCTCACTTTATATATGATAGTGTGAACATGTTATCAGGCTTTTATATGCATTTGAAAATGATATAAGGCTAAGTTTCACTTTACAGTGATTTTCACTTTGCAACAATATCCCGGAACCTAACCTGTTGTATAAGTGGGGCCCTCCTGTTTATGTTCCATCTTGTGATACACTTCACCATGTATGTGTGTGTTCCATCCATCACACTTCATCATGTGTGTTCCATCTTCCAACATACTTATTACATATCTAATCTTGAAATGTACACATCTCATTTTTTTGCTGCAAGTCATTTTTCAATACAAGTGGTTTCTCACCTCTTTGCCCTATATCATTTTATTACTAAATATCTTTCTTTTCCTTTTGCTTATTTAAAGGAATTTTATGTGTATATTTGCCACTTGCCTCGGTGGGAGACGGCCGACTTGTTGAAAGAAAAAAAAAAAAAAAATTGCCACTTGCATATCTAGAGGCATCTGCAGAATTAATACCTGTAATTTTATAATTAATTTTGATATAATTGCAAAGTTTAATTTAGTAATTACCTAATGAGCCTTGATTCTTCGAAATTGTTAAGAATTGCTATATCAGTTTAATATATTCTTACTTAAATGTTTTAATGTTTAAAGTCCCACTAATGTTGTATTGGCAGGGATAATGCATGTTATAACTGAAGCATTAACATATTGGAATACAATAATTTTGTAACATTCCACTGCACTAAAACTGTAAGACAAAATGGAACGTTTAAAGTTTATTATAAAAAAATAGTACAGTACAGTGCTTTGATATTACTTCAAACCCAAACAGTAAGTCTATATTTTAATCTCTGTTGTTTAATTTATCAGTCGCTACCACTAGTATGTTTCTTATATTGTACATATGCAGCCAGGGAGTTCACCTGCATTATATGTTTTACACCTGAGTAAACCTCTGGTGCTCACACTTGACTCTGGAGCAGGTCATGGAATTTTAATTTATAAAAGTTCAAAATTAAAGTTTTTTCATTGTTTGAATTTTAAAATTTCATGAATTTACTTAAACTTTGGCTACATTTAGATTTACAACATCTCTATTGTGAATAAGGTGGACAAAAAAATATACATAAAAAAATCACTTCAATTCTTTGAATATGTGCATTGGTAACTAGTGCCATTCTGTATAATGTGTGTGTGTTTCTTTAGAAACATTTTTTTTTATATTTTGTGATGATGGGATGGTGTTCATATTAAGAATGCTCTAAGTTATTCAATACTAATCAGTGCAGCAATGCATTTTTAATTTGGATAAACATTAAAGATTGAATGACTTGGTAACTAACATTTTAACATGCCGTTAAAAAACTGAATGTATGAAATATATTTGGCATAAATGTAAAAATCTTGATTAAATAGGGTTAATAGAGAGATTTAACCCTTAAACTGTCCAAACGTAGATCTACGTTGACGTGCGTAGTGCTACGACCATTATTTTCTCCATTTGAAAGCATGTAAAATTGGATGTAGATCTACGTACGGAGCACTGTGCACGTCAACGTAGATCTACATTTGGACAGTTTAAGGGTTAAGACCTTTAGGAACTAATAGTGGAGGGTCAGTAACATTGATATGGCTGTAGGGCCTGTTGATGAGCATTATTAGGTAAGGGGTTGGCATTTATGTGATAATAGTTAATATGAGGGTGTTTAAGAGTGATGCAAGAGGTAAAAAGTGCAGTATAGCTCCAAAAATCTGAAATGGTGAGGACTTCAGTCTTTTTAGTATTTATATTTTTAGGGAAAGCTAAAACCAGAACCAGACAGTTACCATTATTTAAAATTAATAAAATATCCGTACATACAGCAAATTTATATGTCACATACTGTACAAAAGATAACTCAGTTTGATAAGAAAAACAAATAAATCATCAGTATGAAAGTGTCATAATAAAAAAAAAATCCACTTTTCTGAATAACTTTTGACCTCTTACAATATAAAAAAAAATCAAAAGACTTTATTAACCCTTTCACTGTTGAGACCCCTGCTCACAAACTTGCTCTCAGTGTCGAAGAATTTAAACAAAAATTATTTTTTCTTGTGAAATGATAGAGAATCTTTTCCCGATGGTAATGACACCAAAAGTATGAAATTTGATGGAAAATTTATGGAATTACACTCTTGTGAAGTTAGAGGTATCGGTGATATTTATGCATTGACAATTTCGCCCACTTTGAGCCCTATTTTTGGCTAATTCCATTGTTCTGGTCGTCCAAACTCTCAGCTGTTTCACTAGAACTCCATTTGTTCTGTCAATTGAGTACAACAAACCGCCCATTTACCAATTTCAACTCTAAAATGATCAGAAATTGGTAATTTGGCCAATTTCATACACAATTTAAGGCCAATTTCAAAATAAGGTCCAGAATTAACAATACAAACATTCCTAGCACTTAAATAACAGTTTCTCTGCTCAATAGTCACATCTCCAGGCCTGTCTTATATTGCGCTTACTTTCCATTTTTAATTTTTATTCACGCAAAAAATAGAAGATTTACTGTTATGCAGACTACTGCATTACTGTAAAAATGGTATAAATAATATCAGCGCATTTGTGAAAGCATATTAGACCTGCCAGTTGACATGTATTGGACACATGACGTGATTTGTTTACTCTTGAACATCGTCAAAAATCGAACATTTTCGCTAATTTGAGCTCAATTTTAGTCCGTAGACCATTCAAAATCATCTCTAGTTCTGTAATATATCTTCCATTCTATCAAATGAGACCAAGTAAATGAGAATACAACCATAAATGCATGTACCATACAAAAATACACCGCAAAGTCGCTGTTTTAAACAAAAAAGTTTTTTTCCTCATGCACTGTATGCTGCAGGATTTTTTTTTTATACTGTGAACACTGACCACTCAGACCCATTCTCTCATATGTAGGCCTACCAGCTTTCTCTGCATGATTGGAAGCCACTAGAATTTTGGCGTTACATTACGGGACTGACAGTGGCTTGCAAGCTGTAATATTACGGGACCAACAGTGAAAGGGTTAAAAAATTACAAAATTAAATTTATTGTCAATGATGGTACAATAAAAAATTTCTTAAGTTGTTGGAAAATTTTGCTGTAATGCAAGATTTTATTTTTTTAAATTTTCGTCAATAGGAAATTTAGGTCAGTTTTGGTGTCCTTGATTTCTTGGATTTTGGAGTTGTGCTGTAAATGATTTAAAAAATCTGAAAAGATATTATTAGGATGTCAGATGTGAGTATTAAAACTAGTTAAGAAAAGCTTTGGGAAAACTGCAGATATCACTAGACAAAAATGTCATGAGAGTAAGTTCTTTTAGTGGAAGTGTAAATCAAAGGTGAATGTGAGAACTGTATGATGTGCAGTGGCCAAGTGTGGTTCACTGTGAGAACTGTATCCACAGATCATTGAAAAAAAAAAAAAAATGTTCAGACCAGTATTCTTGAATATAATCTTACATAAAGTATGTACTGCTACTATAGTATTTATTATTTATTATTATTATTATTATTATTATTATTATTATTATTATTATTATTATTATTATTATTATTATTATTATTATTATTACTACTACTACTACTACTACATAGTACTGCTTTTTGTGTACTAATGCAGCAGTCAAATATAAAAGGTAAAATACACACTTTAACACAAAATTAGTATGTGTTTTGGTGGTATATATTCATTTTTGTGGGTTATTGGAGAAATTAGATGAGCCATTTTTGTTAAATACTTTACAGTTACTAAGATGTCAAGATGACAAGTAGGATTTTTCACTGTTGTTGGTCATTTATTCTCTAATATTTATTAGTTTTTAGTATTTACAAAATGAGTGAATGATACAGTAATTTGTTTTATATGCTGTACATCCAGCTTTCATTTAATAGTTTTCTTGTAGTTTTGTTAAAGTCAAACTTTATTATTTGATAAAAATTACATCTACTGTATACATTACATCAAGCACTGATATAACCAGTATTTAATTGAAGAGAAAACTTTTATACAGTACATAAGTACAGTACTGTACTTGCATTTTGTATTGACAATAAAATTCGGTAGTTTTAATTTTCAGTTTTTTCTTCTCAGGGTTTCTCAGAAGCAGAAGAGACAGAAAAAACAAAGAGAAGAAAGTTAAGAAAAAGAAAGATGCAGATTCTTCTAGTAATAAAGAGGAGAAATCAGACAAGTAAGACTGTAGCACCTTGGTCAGTCCTGCTCTTTTGTAATTACTGCCGAGCATGTCAGTACCATATAGCAACCTGGCCTTATATCATGATGGTTTCTTTATGTGATATTCCCCTTTGATTTCTTAATGCTTCAAGACTTTTTAGAAATCTCTTTTCTGTATTTTAAGACGTAAACTGTTGGTATCCCACCATATTGAAAGTCCCTTCTGTGTTGGCATTTTTTAAATGAAAATAAAAATGATTTTATCTTTTAAAATGGTAGAGAATCTTTTTCTGAAGGCACTAACACCAAAAATTGAAAAATTTGATGTAAAACTTGATGAATTACACAAACATGAAGTTGAAGGGCAGAGAACACTTTATGCAATAATAAATTTGCTCATTTTAAGGTCAATTAATTTAAAATGAGAGGTTCAAAAAAAATACTTTAGTCATTGTATCCACCTTCCTTCTGTTCATTAACCTTTTGTTTCTGACATACCAGTACACAAATGCTGTTAACCCTTTCAGGGTCCAGACCACCAATCTGAAACGTGTCCACAGGATCCAAGAATTTAACCCTTAACCCTTTCAGGGTCCGTCCCGTAGATCTACGGCTTCACGTTGAGTGTCCAAACCGTAGATCTATGCCAAAATTCTAGCGCCGTCAAATTTAGTGCGAAAGTGCTCATAGGCCTACATGTGAGAGAACGGGTCTGCGTGGTGGGTGTGCGCCATAAACAAAAAATCTAGGCGCCCGCATAGCATTGTGGGAACACCGGCTCAGTTACCCTTGTTCACCATGCCTCATCGCAAGTCAGCCCTCACTCCCCGGAAAATTGGGACTCTCCTCTTCCTATCTGATAGTTCTGACACTGATGGAAGTGGAAATGAAGACGAATTCTACGGCTTTGATCAGTTAGTGACCGAAAAGAATGACCAGGATATCGATAATAGTGCAGAAAACCCTGACGATCCTCAACCTTCTACCTCTGGTGTGGGCACTCGTGACTCACGGTTGGTTGTTCCTCAACGCAAAAGAAAACTAATATTTTCGCGTAGCCAGGCCTCTGACTTCAGTAATGATGATGATAGTGACTTGGATTGTGATTTTATTGCGCTCGACGATCATTCGAGTAGTGATAGTGAGGAATCATATTCACCAGTGAAGCATCGGTATGTTCGCCGCCACATGCGCTCGGGTAGTGTACCCTATGCTGTGCCCAGGGGACGGAGTACATCCCGGAGTACATCCCGTGGCCCTACACCAGTTTTAGGTAGTGATAGTGAGGATGATGTGGCTACACTTGGCATGGATAGACCACAGGCATCAGTGGATGGTGGTAGTGGTGATGGTAGTGGCACCGCCATGCGTGACTCACCAGCCCACGCTGGGACCCACGCTGCTGACTCGTCAGTTCAAGGACAAAGCGGAGCGTCAGCCACCAGCCCACCACAACCACAACCACCCGCACAACCAGCCAATGATGTCCAGTATCCACCAGCAAACCGTATGTGGGATTGGCAGCAAAATCCCAATTTTGTTCCCAAGCCTCACCACTTTGATGACTCTCAAAGTGGAATTCTACCTACTTGTCCCCTTGGAACCACGGCCAATGAACTGGAATTCTTTGAATTATTCTTTGACCAGCCATTGATGGAAACTATTGTCAGGGAAAGTAATAAGTATTTTGAGTACACCATGGCAAATACGATCATATCACCACAGTCAAGACTACACAGGTGGAAAGAGACGACTGTTGCAGAAATGTATTTGCTTTTTGCAACAATAATGCTTATGCCTCATGTCTATAAGCATAATATAAAAGCATGCTGATCCACAGATCGGCTAATTTCTACCCCGGTCTTCAGTGAAATCATACTAGTGAACAGGTTTATCTTACTCTTACGTATGTTGCACTTCTCTGACAAAACCAGGCCTGACAGAAGTGACAGGTTATACAAGATTAGAAATGTTTTCATGTATCTGTTGGAAATGAATGGTTGTCCAGAGCAATTGTTGTCAATTGCTGGCTGGACAAATACTGTAAGGAAAATGCGGTAACATTCATTGACAACTGGGACCTCTTCTATGGCAGAAATGACATGTATGCCAGGGATGGGGTTCACTTATCTAGGTGTGGGGTGGGAGCACTGGCCAACGCAGTGGAGGGAGCTGTTAGGTCTTTAAACTAGGAATAGTTAGTGGTATGGGTTTTGGCGGGAAAACTGTGAAGTTGCAGGGTAGTAATATGAGAACTAGTAATAGGCAAAATGAGGTGGATATTGGAAAGCCAGTGGCACTAATTGACAAGGACAGTAATAGGTTTAGTGGAATAACAGAAAGGAGCAGGAAGGGTAAAGAGAGAGGAGGGTCTTTAAATATTTATTACACAAATAGTCGCAGTGCTAGGAATAAGATGGACGAGTTGAGACTAGTTGCTAGTGCAGGTAACATAGATATATTTGCCATTACTGAGACGTGGTTTAATTCAAAAAGTCGGGACATGCCTGCAGAATGTCACATTCAGGGTTTTAAATTGTTCCAAGTAGATAGAAGTATCGGGAAGGGGGGTGGCGTGGCATTGTATGTCCGAGATCGTTTGAACTGTTGCATAAAAACGGGTATTAAGTCTGAAGTAACACATACAGAGTCTGTTTGGATAGAATTTTCAGAGGGGCATGAAAAATTAATTTTAGGTGTGATATACCGTCCCCCAAATTTAGATAGGGACCAGGGGAGACTACTATGGGAGGAAATTGTTAGGGCCACAAGGCACGATAATGTAGTAATTCTAGGAGACTTTAACTTTAGTCATATTGATTGGAATTTCTTAACCGGGAATTTAGAATCATACGACTTCTTAGAAGTAGTTCAGGATTGTTTTTTGAAGCAGTTTGTGACAGAACCTACAAGGGGTAATAACCTGCTTGACTTAGTTCTGGCAAACAATGAATCCCTTGTTAATAATTTAGAAGTTTCAGAGGAACTGGGTGCTAGCGACCACAAATCAATTACATTTAGAATTGAATGGAAGTATGATAGTAGGGATAACTCAGTAACAGTCCCAGATTTTCGCTTAGCAGATTACGATGGGCTTAGAGAACACTTATCATCTGTTGACTGGGGTAACGAAGAGAGCTATCAATATGACAGTTTTCTGAGCACAATACATGCTGCTCAAAGAACGTTTATCCCTTACAAGGAAATTAGATCAAATAGAAATGACCCAAAATGGATGAATAATAGGCTGAAATATCTACTAGGGCATAAGAAAGGAATTTATAGGCGTATCAAAAGAGGCGAGGGTCATCTTATGAATCAGTATGTTGACATTAAGAGGGACATTAAAAAGGGGATAAGAAAAGCTAAAAGGGACTATGAAATTAAAGTTGCTAGGGATTCTAAAACTAACCCAAAAAGTTTTTTCCAGGTCTATAGAACAAAAGTCAGAGATAAGATAGGTCCCCTTAAAAATAACTATGGGCATCTTACTGACAGAGAATGAAATGTGCTCGATTTTAAATAATTATTTTCTCTCGGTTTTTACACAGGAAGACACTAATAATATTCCGGTAATTAATTTTTATAGTGGATCAGAAGAAGATAAATTATGTAACATCACAGTCACTAGTGAAATGGTTGTGAAGCAGATAGACCGACTGAAGCAAAATAAGTCACCGGGTCCTGATGAGGTTTTTTCAAGGGTTCTAAAGGAATGCAAAATGGAAGTCTGTGAACCATTAACTAATATTTTTAATTTATCTCTTCAGACAGGTGTAGTGTCTGATATGTGGAAGATGGCTAATGTAATTCCTATTTTTAAAACAGGGGACAAGTCGTCACCGTCAAATTACCGCCCAATAAGCCTGACCTCAATTGTAGGCAAATTACTAGAGTCAATTATAGCTGAGATTATAAGAAGCCATCTCGATAAGCATAGCTTGATTAATGATACTCAGCATGGATTCACAAGAGGCCGGTCTTGTCTAACTAATTTATTAACTTTCTTCAGTAAAGCTTTTGAGGCTGTTGACCACGATAAAGAATTTTATATTATTTACTTAGATTTTAGTAAGGCATTTGATAGAGTTCCGCACCAAAGACTGTTGAAGAAAGTAACAGCTCATGGAATTGGGGGAAGGGTGCTCACGTGGATCGAATCATGGCTCACAGACAGGAAGCAAAGAGTGTCCATAAATGGGGTTAAATCCGAGTGGGGATCAGTAACAAGTGGCGTTCCACAGGGATCAGTCTTGGGCCCGTTGTTGTTTATAATATATATCAATGATCTTGATGAAGGAATTACTAGTGATGTGAGCAAATTCGCCGATGACACGAAGATAGGTAGGATAATTGATTCAAACGTAGATGTTAGGGAACTTCAGGAGGATTTAGACAAACTCTACTCTTGGTCAGAAAAGTGGCAGATGCAGTTCAATGTAGATAAATGCAAGGTTCTGAAGCTCGGGAGTGTCCATAACCCTAGCACTTATAAGTTAAATAATGTAGAACTTAGCCATACAGATTGTGAAAAGGACTTGGGGGTTATGGTAAGCAGCAACCTTAAACCAAGACAGCAATGCCTAAGCGTACATAATAAGGCAAATAGATTACTGGGATTTATATCAAGAAGTGTAAGCAACAAAAGTGCAGAGGTCATACTGCAGCTTTATACATCATTAGTAAGGCCTCACCTAGATTATGCAGCTCAATTCTGGTCTCCATATTACAGAATGGACATCAATTCGTTAGAAAACATTCAGCGTAGGATGACTAAATTAATACATAGCATTAGAAATCTTCCTTATGAAGAAAGATTGAAGACTCTTAAGTTACATTCACTTGTTAGACGAAGAATGAGGGGAGACCTGATCGAAGTGTATAAGTGGAAGATAGGTATTAATAAAGGGGATATTAACAAGGTCTTGAGGATATCTCTCCAAGAGAGAACCCGCAGTAATGGATTTAAGTTGGATAAGTTTAGATTTAGAAACGATATAGGAAAGTATTGGTTTG